TACCTGGTACCAAAAAAAAAAAAAGAATTCAGAAGAAATGAAGAGATTCCTAGATACATATGAATTACCAAAACTGAACCAGGAAGACATAAAAAGTCTTGAAAAATCCAATAACAGGCAATGAAATTGAAGAAGTAATATTAAAAAAAAACCCAATTAAGAAAAGCCCAAGGCCAGGGATTTAGCTCAGTGGTGCTGCTGCCTGCCTTGCAAGTGGAAGGTCCCAAGTTCCATCCCCAGTACCAAAAAAGAAGAAAAGCCCAAGTCTGGATGGATTCACTACTGAATTGTAAGAGAACTTCAGAGAACATTTAACACCAGTATACCTCAAGCTCTTTGCTGAAACTGAAAGGGAAAGAGTACTCTCAGTCATTCTTGCAAGCTAGCATTATACTAATTATAAAACCAGACAAAGATTCAACCGAAAAAGAGAGGTATAGACCAATTTCTTTAATGAATATAGATGCAAAATCCTCAAAAAGATTTTGACAAATGGAATGCAACAAGTCATCAATCAAAAAGATCATCCATCATGACCATCCCAGGGATACAAGGCTTCATCCCAGAGATACAAGGATGTTTTAACATATGCAAATCAATAAACATAATGCAACAAATAAACAGAAGCAAAGACAAAAATCATACAATCATCTCAATAGACACAGAAAAAACACTCTGACAAAATCCAACATCCATTCACATTAAAAACACCAAAGAAAACAGGTATAGAAAAACTTTATCTCGATCTGATAAAAGCCATTTATGACACGAACCTACTGCCAACATCATATTAAGTGGGGAAGAACTGAAAGCTTTCCCTATAAAATCAGAAGTAAGACAAGGATGTCTACTATCACCACTCCTGTTCAACATAGTACTCAAAACATTAGCAAAGACAATTAGGCAAAGTAAAAGAGATATGTACAGGAAATGAAAAAGTCAAATTATCAGTATTTGAAGATGACATGATTCTCATCATAGAAACAAAAAATTCCACCAAAGGATTCCTAGAATTAATAACCAAATTCAGCAATGTAGCAGAATACAAAATCAACACTCAAATATCAATAGTGTTCCTGTACACCAAAAATGAACTTACTAGAAAGAAACTAGGAAAAATAGCATTCACAATAACACTGAGAAAATTAAATACTTAGAAATTAACCTAACTAAGGAAGTGAAAGACCTCTACAATGAAAACTACAGTACTCTGACAAAGGATGAGGAAGACCCAGAAAATGGAAGGATATCTCCTGCTCCTGGAGAAACAGAGCCAATATAGTGAAAATGGCCATACTTTCAGAACTGATACACAGACTTAATGTAACTCCAATCACAATATCAACAGCATTCTTCACAGAATTAGAGGAAACAATTCTAAAATTGACATGGAACCAGAAGAGACTCAGAATAGAAAAAAAAAAAAAAAAAAAAAAAAAAAAAAAAATCCTGGCCAACAAGAGCAAAACAGGAGACATTACAATCCCAGATTTCAAAGCTACAGTGATAAAAGCAGCATATTACTGGCACAAAAATAGACATGTGGATCAATGGGACAGAATACAGAGTGCAGAAAACACCCAGGCGCATTCAAGTATTTGATCTTTGACAAAGGGGCCAATAAGCTGGAGGGAAAGAAGCCACTTTAATAAATGGTGCTGGGAAAACTGGCCATCCAGATGCAGAAGATTGAATCTAGATTTTTTTTAAGGACCAGAGGGGAATTAAGGCCTAATTGGCCTCCACTGTAAGCACAAAGGAGAAAGGCTGCACTCAAGGGTGATTGCATATTAGGGAAAAGTTAAGACAGCTGAGGTTAAGTTGTTTACCAGCGAATGTACTGATGGATATTGGAGACCAGATGAATCTTGTGTTACTTTGATTGCTTGTGCCTGTGTTTGAGTGAATAAAAGTGTGGTAAGCCAGAGGCTCAGGGCTCCTCTGCCTGCTAGAGGCCTGAGCCCCTTGGCTGCCTGAATCTTGAGCCAACAGTGTCTCTTTATTATTCATCCTCATCCTGCCACCGCAGCCCCCCACCCCCAGGTAGGAGCAAGGCAGGCTGGGCTAGCCGGCTACAGGTGGCGCCCCAGCATGGGGCCGGGAACCGGGTCACCTACATAGATCCATATCTTTCACCATATACTAAAGTAAAATCAAAATGGGTCAAAGATCTAAATGTTAAATCAGAAACAATATGCTAGGAGATAAAATAGGTAAAAATGAATTCATAGGTATAGGCAAAGACTTTTTGAATAGAATGCCAGTTGCATAGGAAATAGTACCATGAACCAACAAATGAGATAATATCAAATTAAAAACCTCCGCACAGCAAAAGAAACAACCAGCTGACAACCTACAGAAGATTCTGCCAGCTATTCCTCAAATAGAGGACTAATATCTAGATATATAAAGAACTCAAAAAAATTAGCCCCTTCAAAATAAAAGCCCAAGCAAAAGGGGGGTGGGTAATGAAATGAACAGACACTTCTCAGAAGTACATTTGGCCAATAAATACAGGAAGAAATGTTCAACAACACTGGTTATTACAGAAATATAAATTAAAACAATGCTGAGATTCCATTTTACCTCAGAAAGAATAGCCATCATCAAGAAAACAAATGCTGTGGGGTAAAGAAAACAAAGATGTGGGGTTAAAGGAACCCTTTTCCATTGTTAGTGGAAAGGTAAACTAGTACAACCACTATCAAAACTCAGTGTAGAATCCCTGTAAAATTAAAAATTGAAATCCCACTTGACTCAGCTATTTCCCTTCTAGGTACCTTCCCAAAAGACTTAAAGTCATCATACCACAGTGATACATGCATACCCATGTTTATAGCAACATAATTCATAGTTGCTAAATCTTCACAGTGGCCTATACATCCATCAACAGATGAATGGATGAAGGAAGTGTGGTATTTACACACAATGGAGGACTCCTCTGCCATAAACAAGGATAAACGTGAGACATTTGTAGGAAAATGGATGCACTTGAGACCATAATGTTAAATAAAAGAAATCAGATTTGCATGCTAAAATATCACATGGTTTATCTTATATAAGAAACCTAACATATGAATAAAGAGCAAAATAAAAGACAACAGGAATTAGGGAAGTAGATCTTTCTTAAATGGGAAGGGGATCAAGGGATGGAGGGAGAAGGAGACACAAAAAGAATTAATAGGTGTTATGTCCATGTACCAACTCCCCACAATGAATGTAAACACGTACAGGCAATATGGACTAATAAAAACTAAAAATTACCAAAATAAACTAAGACAGAAGGACCGCAGGTTTCAGAGTGAGAATGCCCTTGCCAACACATTGATTTTAGACTTTTAGCCTTGAGGACTGTAAGACAATACATTTTTATTTTAAGTCATTCACTTTGTGGTAGTTTATTTTGGCAACCCTGGCCAACTAATACATTTGTACTTGATTATCAGCCACTCGACGAAACCAGTCAGAGGAGAAGCCTTTCCTCCAAAGTTCTATTTCGTTTTATGTTTAACTCTCTGCTGAAGTAAGATTTCTTAAATAACCTCTCTGTTTTGCTGAACTGCTGTTTCTCCCCAGCACATGATTAGCTCTGACATGATCAGGAATATGATAAGATAGGGAGGGGAGATTGTCAGCCAGATTCTTCCCAAAGTAACCTAAAACACATATTTCTTACATGATATCTTCATGGAGGTAAGAATGGAGGAGTCACTCAGCTGGGTGGTCCCAGTGGAGTCTTTCCTGTGGCTGCCATCAAAGTACTATATAGAGTTGTGTCATCTGATGCCTTGGAATCCAAAGCCTGGGTAGGGCCCAGGAAATGAGAAGGACAAAAATCATAAACATTATCTTTGGGAGGCATGAAGTTTAAAGAAGAAGGCTTATAATATACCACCCTTCAGACTAGAAACCCCACCCCTCACCCCCAGTGTAGAAGGAGAAAGAGGGAGAGGAAAGCAGAGGACTGTAGGAAATCGTTCTGAAAGAACTGTAACTAGCTTTCCTGGAAGAGGCCTGGGCAATGTGGAAAGACTCTAGAGCTGTCCTAAGCACTTTATATGGGCTCCTTGTGAGCATTTAATCCCTATAAACCCCTGTGAAGGAAGTATATTAATTATAATTGAGGAAACTGAGGCTAAGCAAATTAATTTTCCCAAAGACACTCCTCATGTAAGTAGGTGTTGTAGTCAGGTTCCAAGATGGCCTTATAGGAGCCCTACCCCCTCAAATTCACATCTGTCACGGTCTTATACTCAGGACTGGTCTGTGTGACTAAGGGAGTATAGTTAGGTCCTAAAGGACATATGGTGTCTGCCTTCTGTAACATGGATTGCTTGCTCTTGGAGAAGTTAGCTGCGACATCATGAGAACACTCAAGACATCTATGAAGGGGCCCACAGAGTAAACAACTAGCCTCCTGCCAACAACCACATGAATGAAGGAAGCATCTTGAGAGAGAATCCACCAACATCAGTCAGGCCTTCAGATAACAGCAGTGCTGGTGGACATCTTGCCCACAACCACATGAGAAATTCTGAGTCAGAACCACCCAGTTAGGTGACTCTCAAATTCCTGCCCCACTGAAAGTGAATTAAGCAATATTTGTTGCTTTAGGTCACTGTGGGCTGATTGGTTCTGTAGCACAGATAACTCACAGAGCAGGGTTCATGATCTCTGGATCAGGCCGCCCATCTCTTCAAAGGTCCTTCTGCATTCCATCCTTTTTCCTATCAGTACTAAATGGAGAATACATCAACAGTAAAATGAAATCTTCATTAAAAATTAAAGTGCAAATGTTATTAAATCCTTGACAGAAATTTGAAGGAGAGAGGAAAGATTTTGGCAACTGCAGGAACAAGCATGGCAAGAGATATAGCAAGGCCAGAAAAGCATTCAACCCAAAACTTCAATGAGTATAAACTCTGGGGCAGGCATGGGCAGCCATAGTCTTGTCCCTGGTGAGACACAGACATACAGAATGGCCTGGGACAATCAGGGAAGAGTCCCCTCCTTCCAGTGTGTCTAGTCATCCAGTATGCACTTGGGAGAAGCAGAAGAGGAGACTGAGGGCTCGCCAAGGCACAATGGGAGACTTGCATTCAAAAATGTATTTTTGTCCATGTTTATAGCAGCACAGTTTGTAATAGCTAAATCTTGGAAACAGCCTATTTGCCCATCCGTTGGAAACTCGATAAAGAAGTTGTGGTTTTTCTATAAAATGGAATATTACTCAGCCATAAAGAACGAGAAAATAGATTCATTCCTAGGAAAATGGATACATATTGAAGATATACTCCTAAGTGAAATAAATAAGTCACACATGTGTGAATACCGAATAGTTTCCCTGGTGTAAATAATCTGCAACAATGCATAAGATTCTAATAAGATTACTGACATTTAGAAATGGGAAGAAAGGAGCTAAAGGTGTAGGGAAGGTGGGATGGGTAGGGGAAGAGTAAAAAGGGAAAAGAAAAAAATGTGAGAGAATGAAAAGATGAAAATAAAGTGTTTGTAGATGGGGAGGGGAGGAGGGGGTGAAGGGAGGGCAGAGGTAAGGGGAAAAAATGAGAATCAAGACTTGTCATGTAGAGGTACAAGATCCCAACAATGAATGTAACTGTACTATACCCCTAAAATGTACCAATAAACTCAATTAAAGCTGAAAAAAAAATGTATGTTTGTGAGTCCTTTTTGTTCTGAAAATATTAAGTTGTTAACCTTAGGAGACAGCAAGGGGGCCAGGGATTGAGCTCAGTGGTGCTGCTGTCTGCCTCACAAGCTCATGGTCCAGAGTTCGATCACCAGTATGGGGGGTGGGGGGAGCAAGGGCTTAACCCTAAATACAGGTGAGCATCAACCTAGGGTATGGCCATTGTGGGGATACTCAGGGGGTGACCAAGACACCTTAAGGTATCCATATTCAAACAGTACTGAGTAAATATCTTCTAAACTCTTCTGTATGCAAAGCACCTGCTGAGCATTGCAAGTTCCACCTTCAAGGAGCCAAGAGTAGGACAAGCACACACAGAATTAAAATCCAAGAAAAATATTGTGTCCCTGAGGTCTGTGGCATAACTCAATGGCAGAAGCCCAGTCAGCAATGGTGCTCACTGGGCAGCTAGGAGACTGTGACCTGGGGTCTGCCAGGGGCAGCAATGATAGTTATTAGGAATAGGCAGCCTGTGGGCTGGTTTGTCAGTACAGTGGTATTGAGGGAATATATACACATTTATAGCCAAGAGCTAGGAAAACCAAGACACAGTCGGGGACACCAGTGAGTTTAGAGTCTGAAAGTTCCAGGTCAAAGCAAGAAATGAATAGAAACAAAGCCAAGAGTCCAACTGAGTGTGAAAGTTTGGATTGGATGACCAGGAGAGCAAGAGTTTAAAGTCTGGCTTTGGATGTAGCTTCTTCAAGACTGAGGGAGGAGCTAAAGTGGCAGAGTAAGAGTTCTTACCTCCCTTGGGATAGGTAGTTGGTCTGAAAAGATGGCAAAAATACAAACCCATAGAAAAAAAATTCCCTGTTTGGTTGGAGAATCAGTAAAGGCCTGTGAGGCTTGGGGAATAGCTCACACCAGCACACACAGTGGGGAGAAGAGCTACCAAATCATAGAAGGAAAAGGATTTGACTGGTTGTTTCACACATTCCTTTTTTTTTCTTTTTATTGAGTTTATTGGTACAATCTAGGTATACAATACAGTTACATTCATCATTGGGATTCTGTACCTTTACACAATAGGTCTTGATTCTCATTTTTTCCCTTGTCCCTGCCCTCCCTTCACCCTCTCCTCCCCTCCCCATTTACAAACACCGCGCATTCCTTTTGATTAGTTTTAACTTCATGGCGGAAAGGCTTTGAAAACTGAAAAAACAATGTCTACAGCAGAATGTTGGGGTCCAATTTCATTTGTAAATTTAAAATTGGCATTCAATTCAATAGGCAATGAAATGCTACATGCTGTTGGATGTGATTTTCCTCCCCAGTTGGGCAAGCAGCTGTTTGATTCCTATTATAATTGGAATGTGGTTCATCCCCACCAAAACTCATGTTGAGCCTTGGTCCCCAAGTGGCATGATGGGAGGTGGTGTCTTTAAGGAGGATTAAGGAGGAGAACGTTAGGTCTCTCTAGAGTGCATTCTCACTCTCTTGGGCTCAGGTTACTGTAGTCACTGTGAGAGTGAGTTGTTAGAAGCAAATCTGGCTTCTTCTGCTCCTTCTCTTTCTCCCTTTCCTGCCATGTGGTCTCTGTCACACATGTGCTGTCTCTGCTTCCACACGAGCTTTCTGGCACTCTCGCTTGGGCTCTGCCCTGTGATGCCAGGCGCTGTGTCATGAGGTAGTCAGAAGGCTCTCGTCAGAGAACTAACAGACGGGACTACCTAATCTTGAGATTTACCTTCAGAAAGGGTGGACTAAGCAAACCTCTTTGTTTTATAAAAGTACTGTCTTTCATTATAGCAACACAAAACAAGTTGAGATGGTTCTTAAACCCATTCTAAAATTTCTGCCTTTGCAAAAGTGGATGCTGTTTCATGGAAGGACCTCACCAGCCTGCTACACTCTGTCTGTTCCTCAAGCCAAGCTCAAACACCAAACACCAAACACCAGTTTTTTGTATTTTCACACTTCTGCCCTGGGGAGACACTAAATTTATGTCAAATGATGCTTATCAGCTGCCAGGCAGAGGATCATCCTGTGACTGGGTTGTCATTGCCCCCACATGTGCCAGTTTAGCCATGTGTGACAGTACCTAATGATTGAATTGACCCTTCAGTGGAGTTATTTGCATTGGTAGCACCAGAAAAGGTTGAATTTAAACTTGAATTTGGGCTGGGCATGGTGGCGCATGCCCGTAATCCCAGCACCCGGGAGGCTGAGGCAGGAAGATCGCTGTGAGTTCAAGACCAGCCTAAGCTATATAGTGAGTTCCACATTAGCCTCAACTACATAGTAAGACACTGTCTCAAAAAACCAAAAAAAAAAAAAACCCTTGAATTTAGTTCCCTAATCATGGCTTAAAATGACTTTTAAAAGATTATATGTGATGCAGAAATGAAACTAAAAATAATGTTGTATGCAAAAGACCTGAGAGTAAGTCTGGTTTTAAACTGTGATGCAAAGAGGGCAATTTCCCTTTTCTCTGAGAAATCACCCAAAAGTAAAAATGAGAATAAGAAACAGGAATAAGACTCTTCTTCAATAAAATTAAGAGGTATTTGTAACCCTGAACCAAAACAGACATGGAGGGTTTCCGAATACAGTGAAGGTCAAGCAAGCCTGTGGGAAGGTAATGAGAGAGGATGTCCGCAATTGGAAACATCAGCCAAGGCCCGGGAAAGCCTAGTTCCTTGAAGCAAAGGACACACCCTGAGAGGCTAACCTAACAATCCCTTTGTGGAATGAGACGGTGCACAGCTTGATAGATGGAGATTCCCTAGGCAGATGAAACACAAAGCCTTAACAAAAAAGAAAGGCAAAATTGAATGAGAAAGGACACTGACAAGCTGTGTTTGCATCTGAAGTGGTAAGGCGGGAGGGCCAGAGCAACCGTGCCGCACACCTCTCTTCTGCCCAGGAAGAAACAAGGGGTGAAACAGCTCACACACACAATCATCTTTAGTCTGGAGGGTGGCACAGATCCCTCATCAGTCTTGACCTCTAAGAATTCACCTCTCTACAAAAGATTTCCTTCTTAACAGTCACGGAATCAAAACACACCACAGTAAAGGGAAGGATAGTTGCTTGGTTATGCAGAAAGCCCTTAAACAGCAGCAGATTCTCCCTCAGTGCTGTGCTGGCAGCACAGCAGACTTCCCCCTCGGTTCTGACAGCAACTTCCTTCATGCCAAATCCTCTACTGTAAGGAATGAGAAAGCTACTGGGGACAGAGAATGTGTCACAAGTCCTTTATTGTCCTTAAATATGAGGAGACTATGACACTTCATGACCAGTGTTCTACTTCTTCTAAGATGAGACCAATCAATGTCCAGTGAAGCAAGATGGCTCTGTTCAAGGAAGGCAGCAGACAGGAAGTTAATCTTTTCTCCTGTTCCTCAAAGTCAGATTCAAAGAATGCAGTGATCTGATTTTGTAGGGCTAAGATTCAGTCCAGTAAAAATTTACTGCATCCTATGACCCAAATTGAGCTTTTAAAAAAAAAAAGGTATTGTCCCATTTCATCTTCACAAGAGCAAACAAATCAATCTATACTAAACTATAGAGATAAATATTAAAATTGGAGGTAATAAGCCACTCATTCGCAAATTTAGTACGCATCAGAATCACCTACAGGAAAAACACAGGTTGTCAAGAGAATTTCTAATTTAGAGGGTTGGGTGGGGCCTAAGAATTTGCATTTCTAACATATCCCCAGGTATGACCTTCCTGGCCCCAAGGATCCATACTTTGAGAACCGCAGAAGAAAATGACATGGGCCACCATGTCAAACCAGAAGGCCCCTTCCCTGTCAGGGACTGTGGCTGTCCGACAGATCAAGTGGTTTGGATGCATGTATCTGCTAGAGCTCTTCCTTACTGGTCTAGCTTAGTAGTATTTACACTTCGGTATCTCCCTAAGATTTCTGCAGGGGGCTGCCTGAATGAAACAAAGAAAGAATGCTTTATGGCAGACTTGAGAGATTTTCCAAGACAGTTTTGGTTCTACTTGATTTTTGCCTTCTGCGCTAACCACGAAACATTATTCACTTATCAATGCTGATGCTGCTGCATAATA